ATGGCACGCGTCGCGGACGACGGGGTGGTCTCCGAAGCCTTCAGAACGACAAGCGAAGTGTAGCAGGGTTGTGCCTTCGCACCAAATCTCTTCAATCTCATGTTCTTTGCCATCCTTATGGATGCCTACCGTGACGAGCGTCCCTGGATCCGCATGAACTACCGCACGGACGGACCCCTTCTCAACATCCGATGCATGCAGGGCCCCACGCGCGTCTCCAAGATCACATTTCATGACCTGCTTTTCGAGGACGACTGCCCTCTCAACACCACAACCGAAGCAGACACGCAAAGGTGTATGGACCTCTTCGCCGCAGGTTGCACAAATTTCAGTCTCACCATCGACATGGACAAAACGGTGGTCGTGCTCCAACCGCCGCCGGGGGTTGACTAAAATTCTCCACGTATAAACGTCAAAGGCGGCGAGCTCAAAAACGTGGACAACTTCGCCTATCTCGGTAGCATGTTATCCCGCAGCACCCGAATCGACGACGAGGTTTCTCGACGGCTCTCCAAAGCCAGCCAAGCCTTAGACCGGCTTCAAGCCTCTGTATGAAATTATCATGGGTTCTAATTGGACACGAAGCTGAAGATGTACCAGGCAGTTATGCTCACAACACTCTTGTATGGAGCGGAGACTTGGGCCGTCTACGCCATTCAAGCTCGAAGGCTAAATTACTTCCATCTCATTTGTATCCGTCCGGTTCTAAGGCTAAGATAGCAGGATAGGATCCCTGACACGGAAGCCTTGGAGAGTACAGAAGATCTCAGAAACTAGGCCACACTTAGACAGATATAACTGCGCTGAGCGGCCGCGTGGTACGGATGAAAGACCAACGAATAACCAAGTGAAATTTTTACGGAAATGTCTCCGTAGGTGTTCCTAGCCAAGAAAGACAAAAGAGAGTATACAAGCACACTCGGAAGTTTCTCCAAATCAACACGGTGACATGAGTGGAACTCACACAGGACCGATCTACTTATCGAGGAACAATCAAGACTGGCGCAGCAATCTACAAAACCAGTCAGATTGCCGCCTCCAAGGCAACATGGACGGTTCGCAAGTCTCACAATCAACGTCTCACAATCACTGTCACTGCCCAAGCCCTTCCAAGCTGTCCGCGCTGTCAACGCCCCTTCCGTGTACGCATTCGCTTGGTTGGTCACGTCCGGACGCAGTGTTCTACTCCTCCAACGGTATCCCCTTCTACGGCGTCAAACACCGTTCCCTACTCAGCACTTCGAAGGCAACAATCCTTATTACAGACGATTCGCTACCCTCATCCACCAGCGTCACTTTACTCGCAACTCCCTCAACCCCCATCGGCGCACAATCGCCACCAACATCATCCCCACCACATCTACCAGCGCTGGGGTTTCGAGCCTTATCTGCTCTCACTGCAATCACGCATTCACCTCACGCATCGGCCTAGTCGGTCACTTGCGAACCCATCGCACAGAGACTGGTGAACTAGTGCCTGGATCACCAACACGCAGATGAGACCGCCGCCTTCACTGCCCACACTGCCCCCGATCATTCGCTTATCGGATGGGCCTAGTAGGTCGCATTCGCATTCACGACAGCGGAATCGACCGTGATGCCGACACACCTAGCACATCCCACACCCCACCACTAGCTCCAGCATCACTCACTCATCGTCCTACTATCTTCAAGACAAGTATGCCCCTTCAAGTTCGCCGGGAACCTCCAGGTAATTGCCCCCAGGTAAGTTGGATACTGTTCTTGTTGAACTTACTTAATAGTTTCTTGCATTAGTGCACCTAATCAGTTCATCTCCTGCACTAGGATTACTCAGCATGCTCCTTGGCACCAGCCTCAAAAGACTAAGCATATGATTGCAACCAAGAGAAACCTAGTGTCAACTTCTAGGCAAACAAATTTTATTAGTTGCTACACGTTGCCATTAGTAGAACTACGGTTCCTCTTGCTTTGCCTCAACCGAGCTTTAAGTTCAGTCTTAGAATACTATCGTTGTATGCAGCAACTTAGCTTTAGATCCTAGGCAAACCCATACTGGCTATTTTCTACTTGGAGCC